AGAAAGAACGATCCAGGGCTGCTCTGCTGGTTCCAATTGCAGCCCTGCCAAGACAGCTTCTGGTAGAGAGAGAGAGAGAGGGGGGGGGCTAGAAACAAGGCAAGAATAAGACTCTGAGTCTGTGTATTTATTTGGGAGCTGGGTTGTAGACCCCCCCCCAAAGAGCCAAAGAGCAAAGAGTAAAAGAGAAAGAAAGAAAAAAACAAGCAAACAACTACAATTTTGTATCTGGGTGGTCTCACACGTGGTATCCAGATTTGATTAGTTGAGATGGAGACTGTATGGCCTGGAAAGCCTGAAGTATCTGTCATCTACTGCTCTGTAGTTTGCTGACTGCTACTGTGGGCCATGGGAAGCTACTGAAGGCTTTTCAGTTGGAGAATGACCTAACTACACTTGTACTCTGTCAGCTGTGCTGCTGGGGACCAGGCGTGGGGACTGTGGAGGCTTCTGGACTAAGAGGGGTTATGATTTTCTGCAGTAGGAGCACTTGGTTTCTTTCTTTCAAGTTCCCGCTTGGAGAATCTGAAGACGGCCCTGCCCCTTCTCCAAAGCCCACACCATACACACGACTTCCTGTGCAGAAGTAGTATGCAGGGACAAGCTCCCATGTCCCAGGAGGAAACAGGATGGTGCAGGGCCTGGTCAGTAGAGGGGCTTGTGCTGGAACCTACTTATCTAACACTCAAGCCCATGTGTGGTCACAGAATTCTGTCTGGTGAGGCAAAAGATGCAGAGTGGAGTCTGAGTTTGCTCAGGGGGACAGCAAATCCTGGATGTTGCAGTGGTGTGCCCCCAGAAGATGCACGTGCCTGTTAGCTGAGTATTCGGCACAAAAGGCATTCCCACCTTCCTGGGACACCCAGTAGTTACAGGACCGACCTATGGGGTCCACTTCTGTGTGGCAGGTGGATACCCTTAGACTATAAAGTGGACCATCCTAGGATGCCTGCTTTAGTGGAAAGCAGAGATCTGGAAGCCGGGTGGCTCAGGTTCTTACCCGAGGTCTGTCCCCTACAAACCATGAGACCTTGGGCAGTAAACTCAGCCTCTTGGAACTTCACAAGACACAACCCTGGGTTTCTCATGCCACGAGGTTGTTGGTAGACTTGAGTGTTATGTGTTGGCATGAATTAGCACCATGCCAGACACACAGTGGGAGCGTCATAGACCATTCTTCCTTCACCAAGTCAAGTGAATGATCCCTAAGAAGCCAGGACCCTTCCAGCTCTGCCCGGGTCCTGCTGGGCAGTGGCTGGGGCAGGCAGGTTGCAGCTCTCACCTTGTCTTGAATGGTCTCATCCCTCTCCTGGATTTCCCTCTTGAGGCCTTGGATGTCCTTCTCCAGAGACTTGATGACTCCCTGCAGCTTCATCTGCTCACTCTTCAGGATCTCAATGTCATTGGTGCGCTCTTCGATCTCCTTTTGCAGGCTGCTGAACTGAGGATGCAGACAGCGACAGTGAACTGAGGACTCAGACAGCGACAGGGAACTGAGGACTCAGTGACAGGGAACTGAGGACTCAGACAGCGACAGGGAACTGAGGACTCAGTGACAGGGAACTGAGGACTCAGACAGCGACAGGGAGCTGAGGACTCAGACAGCGACAGGGAACTGAGGACTCAGATAGCGATGGGAACTGAGGACTCAGATAGCGATGGGAACTGAGGATGCAGACAGCAGCGACAGTGAACTGAGGACTCAGACAGCGACAGGGAGCTGAGGACTCAGTGACAGGGAACTGAGGACTCAGTGACAGGGAACTGAGGACTCAGACAGCGACAGGGAGCCGAGGACTCAGCGACAGGGAACTGAGGATGCAGACAGCAGTGACAGGGAACTGAGGACTCAGTGTCAGGGAGCTGAGGATGCAGACAGCGACAGGGAAGGGCCTTGGGGTCTTTGAACTGGTCCCCATCCCCCCACCTCAACCAAGAATGGGGCTGGCCCCCCTCCAGGGAACCAAAACCCTCATCATTTAACATCCATGGGCTTTGGGGGAGTGGATTTTGTTATTTTATTTGTTTTTTTTTGGGGGGGGCAGCCTTTTTGTAAATTGAGAGATAGTTTTTGTGCATACTTGAAATTTTCTTTCTTTTTTTCTTAAAGCTTTATTTGCTTATTATATATACTAGGTTCTGCCTGCAGGCCAGAAGAGGACACCAGATCTCATTATAGGTGGTTGTGAGTCACCATGTGGTTGCTGGGAATTGAACCTACGTTCAAGCAGTCAGTGCTCTTAACCATTGAGCCATCTCCCCAGCCCCCCATACTTGAAAATTTCATACTTGCACACAATGTACTGTGGTCATAATCACCTCTCCATTACACTCTCTTGCTTCTTGCTTTCCTTCCAGTTCTGACACAAACTTCCCTTCTTTGCAACTTCACATTTAACTCCCTCCCCCTTTTAAAATCTGAGACAGGGGTTCTCTGTGTAGCCTCGAATGTCCTGGAACTCTCTCTTCTTTGTAGACCAGGTTAGCCTCAAACTCAGAGATCCACCTGCCCCTACCCGCCTAGTGAGGCGAGCACCGCCACTGCCTGGCTGTTTCCTTCTTTCTTTAAGGTGACAAACTCTTTTATGTAGCCAGACTGGCTGAGAACTTAGAATCCCCCTGCCTCCGCTCCTATGTACTGGAATTATAGGCATGGGCTTATTACAGGCACACGAAGCTTATTTTGTTTGCTTCAGAGAGTGAGTTTTTGGAGACTCTGGGACAGTTCAGTATTTTCCCAGGTCAGATGAATGATGGCAGTATTCTGCTTAAGTCTAGTCTATAGCCTAGGTCTATTCCCTGCGGGAGAGAGTGGAGCAGTCTATCTACAAATGCTTCAGAGAGAAGATTCCAAGACCACACTGACCTTGAGAGTTGGTCAAGGTCACAGAGAGGAGCTGCTGTAGCCATGTCCAGGAAGGGAGAGCCTGATTATCCCGGGAGTCACTGACAATTGTTCAGTTTCTAACAGGAAGCTTTGATTCCCAATGGGCTTGCTCTGAACTCAGCTTCTCTGTGGCTAGCCATAGAAGAAATGCTGCAACTCTACCTGGATCTGCGAGTCACACCCTCCCTCTCTGAGCTATCAGACAACTAAGTAGCTGCCTCACCTTGCAAGCAAAGCATCTTATTGCCACCCACCCCACCACCTTATATTCCCCCTTCTAAGGAGGAGTCGGAGCAGGAGCCTCCAGGCTGAATTGCTGCCTGCCTCATCCTCAGTCCTCACTGCCATTTTCAGCAGCTCCTACTTGTCCAGAAAGAAAAGCTCAGAGTATCCTGTGCTCAGGGAGCCTGTGAAAGGGAAGGGAGGTGGTTGGGCACTCCTGAAATCCTAGCACCTGGGAGGAAGAAGCAGGAGGAACATGTGTTTGAGGACTGGGTTCCACAGAGAGATCTAAGACAGAATAACCTAAGCCAGTCTGGATTGACTGTTACCCCAAAGAGGAGGGGAAGCAGATGTAGTCTCTTCTGAGGGTAGAGCCCCTTTGTCCCGGAGGTGGGACCTCTGTGTGGGCACCCGGAGCTATCTGTTTACTGCCCCCAGCCTCCTCTGTGACGCTCCCAGGGCCCACCCCTGGGAGACTGAGGGGCAGTGTGGTGCACCTTCTTCCTCATGATGCCCGTTTCTCCTTTGAGCCGGAGGTTGGATTCCTTCTCATCTCGAAGCTTTCTCTCATACTTAGTTTTGATGTCTTGGATCTCTCTGTCTTCATCTTCTTCGATCTGCTTCTTGGTTTCTTCAAACTCCCGAAGCTGCTGTCGAACATCTTCCTGTGCCTGGCTCAGAGGGAGGGATGGATGGAGGTAGGGAGGGAGAGAGAGAGATTGCAGGGAGAAGGGGCTGGTGGTGCTGTGCTAAGGAGGCCTGGGATGTCAAGAGCACAGGAGCCTCTCGTACAAGGGAAGAGGAATCAAATTACACAAGCAGAAACCAAGGTGCTATCCTCTCTCCTGTCTCCCTTCTCTCCTGAGCAGGTCAGGCCTCAGGGCCCACTACCTTCTCTACCTCTTACCAATACCCCACACCCTGCATACCCTGCTGCGCTTCTACTTTCCATATGACACTCAGGCTTCAGACCCCTTTCCAAGACAGGGTTTCTCTGTGTAGCCCTGGCTGTCCTGGAACTCACACTATAGACCAGGCTGGCCTTGAACTCAGAGACCTGCCTGCCTCTGCCTCCTGAGTGCTGCAATTAAAGGTGTGCACCACCACCACCCGGTCCAGACTTATCTTTATAGAGCTTGGTCTACGGTAACTGTATTTGTAAATCTGCCCCCCCCCCAAGCTGAGAATGCCTTGAGGGTAGGAACCATGTCTTCTGTGCCCATACTGGACTCCCAGGGCACAGTGCCTGCTGCACACAGAAGCTGCCAGGCAAATGGCTGAACAAATGAGTGGCTCTAATTACCCCCCCCAAGCCAATCTGCACTGCCCTTTCTCTGGGAAAGGGATGCAGAGCTCTGCTCCCTGGGATCACCTCTTCTAGAAGGCTAGTTTTCTCCTGGAGTTTGGCCTCGTAGAACTCAGTCAGCTCCTCCAGGGCCTGGCTCTTTGTCTCATCATTATCTCGGAGCTGTTTTTCATACTCTTCCTGCATCCTCTGGGACTTGAGCTGTAGCTCCTGATATTTCTCATACTCTAGGAGCAGCTTCTGGTTGTTGCAGCATTCTGGAGAGACACAGGAGGGTCGGCATGCTGTGTGGGCAGGCAGCACCAGCCTTTGGCGCACATACCACACCGAGTTCTTTTCTGCTCCTCCCACACCAGCTGGAGCAGCCGCCTCCAGATCCAAGGTTCAAGGCCTGCCTAACTCTTGTGATTGTCCTGTGTATGTCTCACCAGGTGGCCAAGCTCCCTGCACCCAACTCTAGACAGAGAAATCATTTCTATGAAGGTATGGTAGGAGGCATTTGAGAGTTCAAGGTCAGGAAAATGCCCCAAGTACACAATATGGATTTTATAATTCTATTTTACAGACGACCAAGCTGAGCCTCCGGAACACACAGCAAGGAAATGCTGAGACTGGTAGTCGGGCAGTCTGTCAAGATCCAAACCCGAACTTCTCACTGGCATGTTTGTATTTTGAGGAATGAGCAAATACACAGGAGGGAAAACCATAGTGAGTTCCGATAAAGTAGTGTATTCATAGGCAGAATCACATTCCCTGCCTCTAAGCTGCCTGTGCCTCAGCCATGTGACTCCCCCCTTGTGGCTCACCCAAGTCTTGCAGCTCCCGGCTCTGTCTGTCCAGGAGATCTTCTATGCGTTCTCGGTGAAAGATGTCCTGTTTTTCTTTCTCTGTTTTTAAAACCTGAAACAAAGAGTCGCCTTTTCTCATTTGTCAAAGGCACTAATAGCACAAGAGCTACTTTTACTGGTAACATCTTCATTCAAAAATTTTCTCAAGCCCTTATTTCGCACCTGACCTTGTTATGCTGAGCCACGAGCACAGGGCCACCTTTATCCACATCCTATTTGCTCTGAGACGTCTATGCTTTTGCTCTTTATGCACATGTGATAAAATGGATTAGCCAGAGAAGCGTTTTGGTTTGGACATGGATTAAGTAGATTTTAAGGAGAAAAATCAGGGATTCATTCCAATCATCTACTGCTGATAGCTGGGTATGGTGGTGCCCGCCTTTAATTCCAGTGTGTAGGAGGCAGAAGCACACAGATCTCTTAGTTCGAGGCCAGCCTGGTCTATACAGTTCCAGGATAGCCAGAGCTACAAAGTGAGACCCTGTTTCAAAAACGAAGCTGATGAACCAACCAGACAAATAGAAAACCCCCCAACACCAGCCCACATTGCTGTCAGCTCAGGATCTCACACATGAGTATGGACCTGAGCCAGCCAGCTCCTGGCAGGCTGAGGAAGCCACCTCCGGGCCTGGCTTTGTGTTTGGCTTATGAACTGAACTAACACTTGATGCCTGGCTGAGTGGATTATAAATAAATAAATGAATGAATGAATTTAACAGCCAAGGGCTTTTTAACCAAATAGACCCGTGAAGATAAGTTACCAGTACAACTACTCCTTGATCCAAAAGGTGGTGGGGTTGTAGATGAGGGAGCCAGGCAGATTTGGCATAGCATAAAGACAGGCTCACAAATGCCGGGGCCAAGCCCAACTACAAACTGTTAAGACAGATTTGATTTTTGGCAGTCTAGAGATCAGCACACCTGCTAGTTCCTTCCCTACAGCACTCTTGCGACTTTTTTTTTTTTTTTATGAGTTTTCCCTTGTCACAAAAATGAAAAGTTCTCACCATAGAGAATCTGGAAATTCCAAAAGTGTATTAGACACAAAAGGTAAGCTACCCAGAAGAGCGGCTTTGGGGGATACGCATACTGTTACCTCTTCTCCACGAACCGTTTTACCTGGCAGTACCATTCACATGGGAAGCTTTATATCCTGGCTGTCCTGTTGACTCCTGTGTCCTATACATCTCCCCCAGCAGCTGGGTGTCACAACTGAACCGTACGGGTACCCTTAGTGTAAGGATTCAGGCATTACGCTGGCCTGCCCCTGTCACCTGGCAGAATGCACTCAGGTAGTACCCTGGTCAGCCCAGATGCAGAGGACCCCTTTAAAAGAAAGACCTCCACCCACTTAGTTTCTCTCCCTCTCAATCCTGCTATTCGCTGGGGCAGACAGGACTTTTCCTGTCTCCCTCTTCTCTTCTGCCTTCTCTGTGTCTCTGTGTCTCTTTTCTTTTCTCTTTCCTCCCCACCCCTTCCCTTTCTAATAAAATTTCTCACTAAGCTCTGTCTGTCTGTCGTGTTTGTCCCCCGCCCCCCTCGATCAACCTCGCCTGCCTGCCATGGAATCCGGCAAGGTTAGGTCATGCAGTTGGCCGACCCCAGCAGCATGGGAACTGCTTATTGCTGAGGCTCGGGTTCAGGCTCTCGGACACACCTGGTTCTTCGTCTTTAAGGACTCCATCTCCTGGATGAACTTGTCTGTCAGCTCCTTGATCTTCTCCGAGTAGTTCATATCCTTCAGCCGAAGCTGATACTCATTCTCCATTTTCAATTCTTCCACGCGAGTCTTCAGCTCCAGCATGATCTGAGCCTTTGGGAGAAGGAAACAGAATTAGGAGCGCTCACAGTGGTGCGTGTGTACGAGCGAGCGAGCGTGCGTGCGTGCGTGCGTGTGTGTGTGTGTGTGTGTGTGTGTGTGTGTGTGTGTCCCTAAACCTTAGCTTAGGACCTGCTACTCTACCTTGCTTCAAATGTAATCTGTCGCTGTTAGAACTTGTCACTGTTTCCCTTACAAGATATACAGATGACAGAGTCCTCCTCTGTCTTTATAATGTGTGCTCAGTGGCCCCACTGTGTGCCAATAGCACTCACGTGTCTTTCAAAGTGACATAAACGTTACCTGTTCAGTGAGACCTACTAGGACCTTCTGTTTAATTCTGCCACCCTTCCACCCCCATTCTCAGCACAGAACTCTTGACTCCGTTCTTAACCCCATCTTATGTTCTGCCTTTTATTCTTCAAATATTGGCACCTAGTAATTATTCAATGCTCCTTTTGCTTTCTTTATTCCGCTGCCTTTTGCTTTCATTAGAAGTTAAGTTCCCCACAGACAGATGTTTTTGTTGGTTTTGTTCTCCGATGTAGCTCAAGAACACAGGTAAAACATAGTAGGTACTCGAGATATTCTCCTTCCCTGTTTGGTACTTCCAATCAAACCCAGGGCCTCATGTTGTGAGTTCTACACCGGGCTACACTGCAAACCCAAAATATACTTGCTGAATGTCCCCATGAAACTCACAGCCTATTGAGGCAGCCAGATAAACACATAATTATACGTTGTGATTAAGTGCCCGATGACATCGTCACTGTCTCCACTCATGGCTTTCATGTCTGTAGCTGGTATCATCACCATTGCTTTAACACAGGTCCTGATTCTACTTGGCTCCAAAGTCTAGTTGCTAGTGTTTGTTTGTTTCTATTGCCACTGAAGTTTCCTGAAAGTCCTGTAATATGCAAATCCCTCATTTCCTGAAGAGCCAATGCTGAGGAGTGAAAGGACACAGATGATTTCTTCTTGATTGCATCCCCCACACCCCAGCCCTCATCTTTGCTGATGTTTCTCTTATTTCCATGACAACACAGAGTGTGTTGCATTTGTTTCTGTACTTCTAATTGGCTGCAGGTATGGACTTAGCATGTGGGAGGTACTGAGAGGAAGGGTGCCCACTTTGGGTCCTCATGTGGCTAGGAGACCGTGGGTCACGCACAAAGTGTGGACGTGGCACTAGAGGGCCCCCAAAGAGCCTCGGCTAACCCCGTTAGGCTGGCTTTGGTGTGAGCAGGGCTCTGGTGATGGTGTCCAGCCCAGATGCGTGAGAAGCGAGGTGACTAGTTAGAATGTGACTGCAGGGTTCAGGTGAGAGGTGGTAGGGCCTTGAGCTGAGGTTGAGCGCAGGAGGGAAGCATGAAGGAATGGAAAGACTATAGAGAGAGACTCTAGAAAATGTGGTGCCTGCCTGGCTCTGTGGTGACGAGAGAGAGCCATGTTGGAAGACTTCCCAGGTGACTGACTGGCTATACCAAAGCGTTGGGTTTGGCTTGTCTGGCTTCACAGTCCTGTCCCCGGAGCCTCACACAGATACTGTCAGCACTGGTAAGGTTCAGCAGGAAAGTCAGTGGCCCCAAGGCCTGTGTTGAACTAGTGAGATACTGCTGCGAATGGCCCAGTTTTTGATGTGGGATGTTCAAGGCACTTGCTCACCGGCCTTCCGTTTTCTGTCTCTACGATGCTGCAGAGTATCTTTCCAGGGTGGGAGTCTTGTCATGATGCTGATTGATAGCTGTGGTCCTTCCCAGCAGTTTCTAGCCTAAGACATGTAAAAGGCCTCTGGCCTCTCTGATTCTCTCCAGCTCTCAGCAACACACCCTACTCATAGTTGCTAGGCACATCTTCCCAGAGGGCCTCTTTACTCCTTCACACACATGGCTCGCTCCATATGGAAGGCCTTTTGTTCTGGAAGGCTCTGTACAGGGCTTGCTTCCTCTGCTTCAACCTGGCCTGGGGCAGGGTCCTTCCCCTGCGTTCCCATGGCAGTGTTTTTTTTTTTTTTTTTTTTTCATAACACTGCTGCAGCTTGCTTCCCTGGCTTGTTCTCCCTGGCTTTCCTCCCAGGCTCCAGGCCCAGGGACCCCTCTGCATCTCTTATCTCTGTAGTTTCAGCGACAATGGTGGCCTGTTGACAGGCACACAGCAGTCGCTACTGTTGCCAGCACATGGATACCCGTGTACATCCAAATGACTGAGTGAGTAAATTCCTGGTTGAGAGACAGTTACTTGGAATGTTACAGAATAGAAAGACAGAGCTGGAACTAGGGAGAATGTGGAATGTTGATGGGAGATGCCATTATGTATATATGCTTCTCATACTGGTTAATGAATAAAGCACTGTTGGCCAATGGGAAAGCAAGATAGGAGGGACTAGGAGACAAGGAGGAAAGAGGAAGTAATAAGGAGGAGTCAAGATGGAGAATCTGGAGAGAATAGAACCGCCAGCCGCCTCTCGCTGGTAAAGACCACGTGGAAATACATAGAAATGGGTTAATAATTAAGACAGAGCTAGCCGATAAGAAACTAGTACTGGGCTAACAGATTGTATCATATACAGAGTCTCTCTGTGTGCTATTTGGGGCTGGTGCGGCAGCGGGACAAGACCAGTGGTGGCGGGTGGAAAAACGGTACTTCTTACAGAATGTCACTGCAGGAACAGAGAGGAGGTGGGCGGAGCCAGGAAGAGGTTTGCACAGATTCATCCTGATGGATGTGAGAGAGGAGGGAGGCTCAGGAAGTGACACACACACACACACACACACACACACACACACACACACACACGATGTTTCACTGTGGTCACAGCAGTGCTGTCAGGCCTGACAGGGGTCAGAGGTCAGGGGTCAGGGTCAGAGTTAGCCCAGACTGTCAGACCTTGAGCGTGTCCCTGCATCTCCTGTTTGGTTTCTCTGCCCGCTGGGAAGAATGAGAAGAAAACAAGAGAGCAGACATGTCTGTCTGCCACAGGGAGGCTAGGCTCTCCCTCCTTCCTCCCTCCCCCTTTGCTTGTCATAGAAAAAGTTCCAGGGTGATCAGGAAACACCAGGGCCTCCATCCTGCTGGGCCTTTGCACTGTTGTTCTGGAAGTTCTGTTCTTTCTCTCCTCCTGGGCCACAGCACCCCTGTCTGACTTTTCCAAACACTCATGCTAGGCTGGAGAGATGGCTCAGCCATTAAAGGCTAGGCTCAAAACCAAACACTCATGCCCAGAGCCTAGGCAACCACAGGGAGCACACTCAGAGATTCAGATGCTTTTCTTAGAGGCAATGACAGTATAGCTCTGGGATTCTCTGAGAGCCAGACATTCAGCGTTATTCATGAGCTGTGCCCAGGGCTATGCACTCAGATTTCAGTAAAACATTTACTGTGTAGAACTTACAAACTACAGACAAGAGGAGGTTCCCTTGGTATAGGGACTGAGAGCCATCGTCAGATTCAATCTGGAATCCAATTCTGGTCCTACTGTTTCCCAGTACAGTGAGTTGGGATCCAGCACTAAGCCTCTTTGAATGAGTTGGTCCATAACCCTCTAGTCATGGGGGAGAATAACAGAGTCTTTTTCACAGGGGTATTGAGAGGTATGCATGTGGGTGTCCATGCATGTTCATGGTGTGTGTGTAAGGCCAGAGGTTGATGATGGGTGTCTTCATCAGTTACTCTCGTTTGTGTTCTAAGACAAGGTCTCTTGTTGGACTTGGGTTCATTAGTTCGGGCAGGTTGTCTTGCCAGTGAGCTCCGGGTCTCCTGGTCTCTTCCACCCCTAGCTCTGGGGTTCTTGGGGTTCTGTACGCTGGCCTCTGTGCCCAGATGGGTGCTGGGGATCCAGCCTCAGGTCTTTACACTTGCCCTACTGGGCCATCTCCTCCCAGGTCAAGTGTTTTAGAATAAAGGTTCCGTGCACTGGCAATCATTATACGTCACAGATACTTCAGAGGACCTTAGATGCTAGCCTGAGCGCTCTGAATGTAGCATGCAATGGAATTCTGTGTTCTTCCCCATTAGCCCTGGTTCTTACCTTCTCTTCCATGTCCGTTTTAGTCACGAGCACCTCTTCAGCAAAGCCCACCTCCCTCTCTCGTTTGATTCCCCGGCCATCCTTATCAAAGACCCTCCAGGTGAACAGACAGCCATCCTCAGCAACAGTCAGCAGGAACTGATCATCAAAGGTGAGCATCATCTGTGGAGGAAAAGAGCATGGCGAAGGTTTCTGGGGCCGTGGATGCCCAGGGCGGAGCTGCCTACTGCACAGGCTTTGGTCCATGCAACCCTGCACACTTCACTGGGCTTGTGTGCTCTTTATCGGGGGAATCAGACAGAAGCACCTTGGTGCATCAACAAATTTCTTTGTTGATGAGGGAGTTGGGGGTCAGTGTTTGGGGAGAGAAAACCTTCAGTTCACTCAAAAGCAAACAATCAAAGTATGAAGCTCTTATGGCATCTACCATGTAGTCGGGGATGATTTCTTGGTGCCACCCGTTGTAGAGGGGGAGATTTAGTTGAGTCTGCACTCTTCATCGTGCATCCATATGTTAGACATGTCTCATTATCATCTCAGTCTCTGCTTCAGTGCGGTCCTTACTAAGCCAATGGCATAGAGGTAACCATGGGTAACCATGGATCTATGGTTGTGACTGTAGGATGCTTTTGTCTCCTCTCACCTGGAATTTGTCCCTTATCATTTGCGGTAGGCCCTAATTGAGTTTGGGAACAGTGTGATCAATCCCCTTCCTCAGTGAATTTAATTTTTTAAATTTAATTTAATCTTTATTTTTAAGACAGCCTTACTTTACATTCCAATCCCAGTTCCCTCTCCCTCCTGTGCTCCCACTCCCCCTACCATCTTCCCATCCATTGCCCCCATCCACTCCCCAGGGAGGGTGAGGCCTCCCATGGGGAGTCATTTGAAGCAGGACCTAGGCCCTCCCCCATGTATCAAGGCTGAGCAAGGTATCCCTCCACAGGGAATGGGCTCCAAAAAGCCAGTTCATGCACTAAGAAAAGTCCTGGTTCCACTGCCAGAAGCTCCATAGACTGCCTAGGCCCCCTAACTGACACCTAGGTCAGTCTTGATTTGCAATGATCTTATCTTCCTGGGCTTTGGGTCCCTAGCATTGTTGGTGCCTGGCAGAGTCTTTGAAAGCGGAGGTGGCTTCCTGACTCCCCTGGAGACTGATTGGCTTTTTTAACAACTCCCAGTTTGATGCTGTGTTAGTTAACCCTGTAAGACTGAGGGCTGGCTTCTCTCAGGTACAGCTACGCAGCAAGGAAGGTCAAAGGTCAGCAAGAGGGGAGCTATGTCAATAAATGTTCATCTGGACTCTACAAGAGCAATACACACTTTCCACCACTGAGGCATCTCTCCAGTCTCTAAAAAAGCACTGCTTTTAAGGAACATTCAATCACGTAGAAAACAATCTTACAATAACGTTAAGAAGCGGGCTGTGAAAGCATGACCATACAGTGTGACCTTTATTCCAGACACAAGTATAATATATGTATTGAGGGAAGATGGTGTCAGAATATGAATGGTGATGCTACTATAATGATCTCACTCCTAACATGAACACACATTGCTTCTATAACAAAGATGATCTTATCACAAAACTTAGTAGCTCTGCAGGGAAGATGGGACCATGTCAACACACTTCACTTTGGACCCAATGTCCAGACTCAGTACAGAAATGTGCCATTTTATAATGAAAAATCCTCCTCCAATGTGTACAGTGCCTACAGGTAAGTATGATGGATTGGATGAGAATGTCCCCCATAGGCTGACATATTTGAATACTTGGTCCCCAGTTGGAGGACCTATTTGGGAGGGGTTAGGAGGTGTGATTTTATTGGAGGAGGTGTGTTACTGGAAGCACGCTTTGAGGTTTCAAAAGGCTCCCATCACTGCTCTCTGCCCGCTGGTTGTGGGTCAGACATGAGTCTCAGATGTTCCTTCACTCTGCCCTCACGGACTCCAACACTTTGTTTGCGAGTTGCCTTGGTCAAGGCATTTTATCACAGCAACAGAAAGGTAACTAAGATGCTACGTCGGTATCGAATTCAGGAAATAATTACACATCTTTCATGCCATCCAATTTCAAATAAAGGAGGCATGCATTTTCTCAGGGTCTGGTTTTCAGGGGCCTGGGTAATCATAGACAGCCCCCACGAATAACTTTTACTTTCCTATTGGTTCTGATTTATTGGCATTCATTTTTTCATGCCAGAGGACTCTTTCATTCACTTTTTGTTATGGCAAAATATATACACTGTGAAGCTGACCACCCTAACCATTATTTGGTGTACAGTTTATGACTGACACATCTGTGAAGCTGTGTAGTTACCACCACCATCTAGCCATCAATTTTTTGTTCTTTAAAACTGAAATTGTGGTCTTCAGCTGGGTGATGGCAGTGCCTGCCTTTAATCCCAGTACTTGGGAGGCAGAGACAGGTGGATCTCTGTGAGTTTGAGGCCAGCCTGGTCTACAGAGTGACTTCCAGGACAGCCAGGGCTACACAGAAAAAGCCTGTCTCAAAAACAAAACAAAAAACCCAAACAAATCTAAGACTGCACAAATGAAATAATAATTCACATTTGCTTATCTACCCATCTGCCACTGGCCATAGGCTGCTTTCTTATTTTAGCACCTTTTCTTCCTTTCCTCCATGTTTTGCATTTAGCTATTACACATAGACAGTACTTTGCAAGAAGAGGGAATAGGACGATTTACAAAAGCATGCCTATGATATTGTTCCTAGGGGTAGACTTTGTATCTATATTCCCAGGGTAGGGTCTAATCTCTTGGGGGTATGGCTTCCTCTTGTCTGGGAGCAGTGGGCACCTGAGGGTCATTAGTAGGTAAAAACTCACTACAGCCTGGAAATATGATGGTGACCTAGCTGGGACACCTACAGCACCCATCCAAGGGCTTACTATTGGGTGTAATTTTGTGTCAGATGATCTTTATGTGTGACTATGATTACTTCCTAGGATAAATTCCTAGTTGTTCCAACATGGGTATGGATACCCAGGCAACAGGTGTCCAGTGAATGGTGACAGATGAATAAATAGAAAGGGGAATGAGGAGAAACAAGCAACCCTGAGGAGTTGCCAGGGTGGGAAGGTCTATGAGGCAGAGCCTGGGCTGGGGCTTGGTGGGGAGGCACCTCTCACCTTGGTGATGGGACCAGCATGAGCCTGGTACTCATTGAATTCTTTCTGCAAAGGCAGGGGGTACTTCATGGCACGGATCGTTCCCACTGAAGTGCCCACAAACATCATGCGTCCCGAATGTGAGATGGTGATGGCTGTGTAGATGACGTCAAAGGCTGATATCTCTCGAAGGATCTGGAACACAGGCAGGTCCGTTCAATGGGAGGGGTGGAGCTGTCTCCCGTGTCCCAAGTGTCATCTTTGGGGTGGAAATTCTATTAATGTTTCCCCCTGTTCCTTACAGTATTTGGTATGGTGCCCAAACCAAATACTTATTAGTTTTTCCTCCTCCTCCTCCTCTTCCTTCTCATCATCACCATTGTGGTGCTGGGATTGCAATTCAGGCCTCATACATGCTAGGCAAGCTCTCCACTGCCCAGCTGCCTCCCCAGTTCAGGGTTCCTAATTGTTACCATTATTTTTTTGAGACAGAATCTTACTGTGTAGCCTAGAACTTAATAGGTAGACCAGGCTGGCTTCATAGAGACCCATCTGTTTCTTCCCAAATGCCCGGATTAAAGGTGTGTGCAACTGTGCCCACTTGGAGTTCTCCAGTCTTATGTGGTGTGTGAATGTGTGTGTGTGTGTGTGTGTTCACACCAGTGTGAGTACATGGAAGCCAGCATGACATTAGCCATCCTATTCTTTTACTCTGTCATATTCCTTTGAGCCAGAGTCTCTTCACTGACCCTGGAGCTGGACAGATGGTCAGCAAGCCCTGATGATACTTTCCTCTCTGTCTTGTCCCCACCTGTCCAGCACTGGGGGTACAGGTACACACAGCCACACCTAGGTGCTGGGACCTCAGCTCAAGTCTTCATACTTGCACAAAAAGTGCTCTTACCCACTGAGCTGTCTCTTTAGCTCTGGTTTCTTGATGTTTATAACCAGTTGTGGGTGTTAGGAACAATACAAATGGAAGGGCCAGAAACCCTAAGGTGCCATGTACAAACACTGCCTTATATCCGTTGCCTGTTCCAACTCATCTGGTCTTCCCAAAACCCTTGAGGAAGTTACACTTAAGACAATTAGAAGATGAGTCGCCATGGCAGGAAGTAACTTGCCTCAACTCGTAAGTGTGGTCAGTGGCAGCCTGATTCCACTTTTAGCTTTTGACTGCAATGCTGTCAACATACCTCAGAGTCTGAACAAGATGACAATCATAAATTTATCCAGGAAGCATTTATTAATGTCCAAACTGTGCTCTCAGGGAATCCATTCCTCCATGCATGCCTGCTTATTCACCCACCCACCCACTCACCTATCCACACATTCTGATGATTATGTGTGTGTGGGAGGGTGGTCAAGCGTGCATCAGTTAGTGGTGATGTCAAGGGGAGGGGACATAGCTCTGCCCTGGGGGAGCATTACTCTGGTACAGCTTTGTACAAGCTGCTTAAGAACTAGGATCAGGTCTCTGGGAGTACAAAGGAGAGTCACCCTGTGTTCACCAAGCTGTATTCTAAACCTGTCCCAGGTTCATTTGCTGCTGTAGTAGCTATGAGCCTCCTCCCACACCCAAAGTGCCAGCCCATGACGGAAGCTGCAGAAATCCTAAGAAGCCAGAGATCAGCTGTTGCTGGGCTGGAGAAGGGCATAAGCCACATCTGTATACAGGGTTCACATTGAGCTCTCCTCTCAGCCCTTACATTCAGGAGCCAAATGTGGTAATAAAAAAATCTGGAGGTTAGAGATTTTGAAAGAACACAGTGACCAGCCTGGGTGATGGCAGCTACCTGTATCTCAACTAAGTGCAGAACAAGGGCAAGATCTCAGTTTAATTGAAAATTAAATTTTAATTAAATTTGCGTATGTGCATGCACAAAATGGTGTGTGCAGCGGTGGTGGTGGTGTGTGTGGATCAGAGAACAACCTGTAGGAACTGGCTCTTCCCTTCCACTATGTGGATCCCAGGGGTCCATCTCAGGTTGTCAGGCTTGGTGGCATGTGCCTTTACTAGGTGAGTCATCTTGGTGGCTTAAGAGTGTTTTAGAGATGTTTCTGATTTCCATGTGTGTGGGGTAAATGAGAAGTTACAGGCAGCAAGCAAACTGGAAAGGACAAGGGGACCCACAGCTTGACCTATTCAGGAGGATCAAAAAGTGACGAACTGAGCTGACCCAAGAGAGAACGTAGCAGGCACTGTCCCTTGAAGGAGTGTCTCCTCTCATGTGTTCTATCAGAAGCCACGGAGTCTGTCTTCTGCAACACTGTGCAGCAGCCAGAGAGGGGGAGGGTGACTCACCAAAGAATCTGCAATCTCCTTGAGAGTCTGGTCTGATCCGACAGCGAAGATAACTTTGGCATCAGGGGAGACAGCAACACAGTTATAGCTACAGGACTTGAGCACACACTCAGTTTCTCTCTTCCCCGTGGACAGATTCCATTCATACACGGCACCATCTGTCCCGGCAGAAATCAGTTTGCTATCATCTATGTTCCACACAAGTGAACGAATCTGCAAAGGGTGCAGACACAACTGGGTGAGAACAGTGTACACACACACACACACACACACACACACACACACACACACACACACGACACTTGGAGGAGATAAACCTGGGGGTTCCACTAGACTAAGGCAGAATGTCTATGCTTGGTAGAGGTCTGTCTGTAAGCACAAAAACATGGTTGGTTTCTTGGCCACATTAATATTCTGTTTTCTAAGATGCAAATGTTGTAAGATCTGAAAACAATGTACTCCCACTCCCTTTCACTTTATGAGTGCATGCTGACTTACATTAGTTTTGCAATGTAACTTTATCTTATGTGAATGCATGGCTTGCCCATGGTTACAAGTTTCTGCAGAGGTCAGAAGAGGATGTCAGGTCCCCTGGAACTAGTTGGACTTATGGATGGTTATGAGCTACCACATGGGTGCTCTTAATGGCTAAGTTATCTCTCCAGCCCCTTTGAGAACCCTCTTAGTTTTGAAATACTCACAGAATGGCAGAGTGAGGATGTCAGCTAGTGTCCCCAGTGACCTAAGTTAACTGGTAAAAAATAATCAGAACCACCACTTAAGATCTGAGTTTGACATCTATAACCTACATTTAAAAAAAAAAAAAAAAAGCCAGGAGGAGCCACCGGTTACCATTCAGACATGGCCAAGAACCACACCACACACAACCAGTCCTAAAAACAGCACAGGCATGGCATCAAGAAATCCTGGTCACAAAGATACGAATCTCTTAAGGGGGTTGACCCAAGGTTCCTGAGGAGCATGCCCTTTGCCAAGAAACACAATAAGAAAGGCCTGAAGAAGATGCAGGCAAACAATGCGAAGGCAATGAGTGCATGTGCAGCGGCCATCAAGCCCCCCTCTCCCGTGAAGATCAAGGTGGTTAAGCCCAAGATGCCAAAGGGTCCCGGCTACAAACCCAGCAGTCTTGCTTTCATCGCTCACCCCAAGCTTGGGAAGCTACATGGCCAAGGGTTGTAGACTCTGCCAACCAAAGCCCAACATTCAAACCAAGGCAGAGCCACAGCTCCTGATCGGGCTCCCAATGGTGGCCAAGCCACTGTGAAGGCTCCATTGGAAGGGGGAGGACAGTTAGACCGGTGTGACACACCTACATACAATTTGCAGTTGATCAGGACCCTATGCTCTTTTTTTTTTTTTTTTTTTTTTTTTTTTTTAACAAATAAAGTTGAGGAAAGCCAGGCATAATGGTACACACTTGTGACCTCAGTGACAGGGAGACAGAGACAGGTGGATCCTTGGTGCTTTCTGGCCAGCTTAACCTACTAGGTGAGTTCCAGGCTAGTCAGAGAACCCATTTTAAAGCAAGCCAGCCAGCCAGCAAACAAACCATATGTGCACATGGGCACCAGTTACAGTCCCCGGAAACTTGTTTGAAGGACATGGGACAACGGAGAAACATTCATCCAAGGAAAGCTCCTCAATCTCTGCAAGAGGAGCCTGTGGTGTCTGTGCCCCCTGAAACGCCACTGCAGTGTACTCGGGCAGCAGCTGCCAAGGTGACATGCCACCTCCAGTCTTTCGTACAGTTTCACCCTGGAAGGAAAGGTTGCTGACGTCTGTTTTTCCCTGGATGCAGGGGATCGAGACTGACACGTCTGGTTCCCTTCCTTCAGCCAGTCTTGCAGGGAGCAGCTCCACTCCACGTGCAGACAGGTCAAGAGCAATGGTACCTCACTGTTGGTGCCCCAGTGTGCTTATGCGTGGAACCAGGGGAAGATCCGGGTTCCTGTCACCCTACCCCTGCCCTGCAGTTTCCACTCAAAGTAGGGGTGCCACTGCTGGGAAAGTAGGTTCAGGGTATGGTGGTGTAAGGGCTTTGCACCAGGGAAAGACAGTCACTAAGACAGGGCACTGTGTGGCAGCCAGGGACTGACTTTATTTGCAACAGAATCTGGAGGCCTCTATGCTTTTAGGCACACCTGAAACAATGGAGATCTTGGTGAGAGATCAAAGAGGAGGATGGTAACTGTGACGGAAAGAAAAAACAGCCGAGCAGCACAATTTCAGTAGAGAGATGGTGGGAATGAGATGGTCAAAATTCACTGGGGGCTACGAGGCTGTGTGCCTGTGGTGGGGTGCATCCATTGGGCAGCAATGGGAGCGGAATGTGGGAAACACAGAAGCCATTTCCTAAGCTACATGAAGACCCACGGACTCAGGCGGAAGTCTCTCTGGTACAAGAGGCTTTTGTTTCACATAACAGCTGATCATGCACCCAACAGTGAGTTCTGTTGACTCAAGAGTGCTTCCAAGAATCCAGGCTTGACATGTAAAGGCGTGCTCCCTCTTGGTAGCACGGAAGACTGTGTTCCTGATTAAGGCTGTGCCTTCTCTGATAGAACCAGAGAGGACACATCCAAACTCATGGCCTAAAGCAGTTTCCAAGCCCCCCCACAAACCTAGTAGCAAAGGCTAAAAATTTAAGAAGTTAAGTGGGATTATGGGAAATCTAGGTTGGCTTATGGGAAATCTGTGATCAATAAGTACCTTAGGCCATCCACGGGCATACTGAAGGCTAAAACCCAAAAAAGAAAAATATCTAAGCAGGGACATTAAAAGCTGCACACTGCATGGGAAAAGGCTTTACAGAATTAGTTCTTCCATTGAGCAAATAAACTGTCAGACATCCTTACCAGCTAACCTGCCCA